TTCCGCGGCATCATTCAGCAGCTGCAGAAGTCTTTGGGGGGAAAGGCCAAACCGAGACAGCAACATGCACCGTTAATGAGCGACAACTTTCCCGAGTGGTTTTACCAGCCGTGCAACGCTTGGCCCGGTGGGAGTTCACTCATTTACCAAAGAACTCTATCATACATTCAATTAATTCATTACACATGCTCGATGAACACCCTGAGAGTTTAAATGTGTCAACAAACTTTTGCTTATCCTTTAAAAGTATTTGGCTCCGCAGGGAGGTGCAACTTTGTTATTTTTGATAATTTGTGCGCTTATTTTCCCTCCAGAGAACATCCGGCTGTAATATTACATAATGTTGCTCAAGATAGATGAAAATGTGGCTGTTTACCTGTTTGCACATATTTTACACACAATTGAGTCGCGAGGACTGCAGCGATAAAGACTAATGCCTTTCCACGGGCGTAGTCGAGTTCTAATCCCTCAATTACCGTTGTGTATTGTTCCATCGCCACGTTTCCCGGCCTCTATAAAATCCAATATGGGGAGATTTTCACAAGTCAAGTGTGTTGTTTGAGAAATTAGATTAGTTTTTGAACCCGTCGCAAATTCCTTCGTTGTACCTGTCAAAAGTGACGGCTCCCTGTTGGCCCTTATCAAATTCAGCAAATTCATTTTCTCTCCAGGTATGAGGACTTGTGCTGCTGGAGGTTATTATTCTGTTTGTTTGTCGGCTTGGGATTTTCTGCATCCAGTCAGGAGAGGTTTTTTTTTTTTTTTTTTTTTTTTTTTTGTCATCGGCAGCCACCTGTTCCTTCATTACTGGGACACATCTCGCTTGTAATTTTTTGTTAATGGAAACTGTCGATCCACGAGATAAAGCCCGCATCTCATCGGAATGCATCAGAATCCTCACAGATGAGGGTGAAATTTAGGCTTGAGAAAGCGGAGCCCGTTTTTTTTGTTTTTTTTTTTCCTTCCCCACAGCACAGGCTGCCTTATTCTTTCACTGTTCCAATTGTCACAACTCATTCTTCCCAAGGTATTAAATGAAGATGAGAAAGCAAGGGGGAAGGGTCGAACTAATGCCGGGCATTGTCGCCGCGGTAGGCAGGCTTGACTGGCAGCAACGCAGACGGACAATGTTTGCTCATCGTCAGCCTCATTAAACCAAACCGCCTGGCACCTTCAAATGGCCACCAAAGTTGAGAAAGAAGTGGGAAAAGGTCATGAAGTGCAGTGGAATCAAATTAGAAATGGAAAATAAAACCGTTCTGTTAATGCCGCCATGTCGCAGTATTGATTTAACTAATTGAAATGGCACAGAAGGAGAGGAATCAGACGGCTGTCTTCTGGCCACAGGAGCAGCGCTCGCCGCTTACAATATTGGATCTGATGTGCAACAAAATGTCCCCTGGGGCCCACGCTGATGCTCCCCAGCATGGTTTTACTGTACAATTATCAGCAGACAGCGAGCTCTGTGTTTCAATAGCAGCTAAAAATAATATAATAGGAGGGAAGCTGAGTTCCGGTCATACAATTACCACTTATTTTAAGTTGAACATCAATCACAGCCTGTTTGAAGACTGATTCCCATGTTCCACTTTTGAATCAAGGCTAAATTCGAGTTTAATCCAACATGGTTGAACAAAATACGCAGGTGTAAACTCCCGAATGCTCTCACGTTGATTGGATACATTTCTGACTCAGACTTTATTAATCACTGCACCTACTGTCACATTTTGAATGAGGTTCTTGCAGCAGCACTAGCGATGCATGTTCATTTGTTTCGAGCATTTATTTAGCATTAGTATTCCGAGCCGAACGACAGCTGAAATGCCGTCTTGATTAGTTGTAACAATCGACAGCAGTTTGAAATGAATGCCATTTACAAGGGTCTAAGTGAACCATCAATGACTCAGGCTTTACGTAAAGTGTGTCTGTCATCCTTTAGCTTTTAATTTTACATCACAGACATCTAAGGAGTAAAGTGTCTGTCTGCTTATCCGGGGCAAGGTTGCGAGTGCAGCAGCTTTAGCAGGGAAGCCCGAACTTCACGACAACCAGCCACTTTGTCCAGTTCCCCTGGAAGAATTACAAGGGGCTCCCAGGCCAACTGGGAGTCACTCTCTCCAGTCTCTCCAGGATCGTCTCGGGGGTCTCCTCACAGTGGGATGTGCCCGGAACACATTCATCAGGGTGGTGTCCAGGACGCACCCTAACCAGATGCCCAAGCCACCTGATCTGATTCCTCTCGATGTGGAGGAGCAACGGTAATATTCTGAGTCACTCCTGGATGACGAAGCTTCTCACCCTTTTTCTAAGTGAGAGCCTGGACACCTTGCGGAGGAAACTCATTTCGGCCGCTTGTATCGGAAATCTTGTTCGTCACCACAAAAGACCACTACAGTCTCTTCATCACCGTAGACACTTTACAGAAATCTTCCTGTCGATCTCACGCTCCATCCTGAGCACCATGGCCTCCAATTTGGAGGTGCTGATTTTCATCCCAACTGCTTCTCACATGACTAAAAAGCATTCCAATGAGAGTTGGAAATTGGAGCTTAATGAATCCAAAAGTACCACATCATCCAAAAAAATGCAGAGATGGTTGACGGAAGCCACCAAACTCAACCCCTCAACACCTTGGCTTCACCTAGGAATGCTGTCCAAAAGGGTTATGATCATAAATGGTGGAAAAAGGACAGCTTTGGCTGAATCCAACCATCACTCGACACAAGTTTGACATACTGCCGGCATTGCGGACCAAAAGCTAACAGCATTCATACTGGGACTGAACAGGTGGTTCAGTAACACAAATTCCCAAATTCCCCTGAGAAACATCCTCAAACACTTCCAATGGTGCAGAAATGCTCCACTGTTCCAAACCCCCACTTCTCCTGAATCTGAGATTCAACTCCAGACTATAGCCACCTCTCCAGCACTCTTGAATAGACCTTACCAGCATGGCTGAGGAGTTTGATCGCCCAGTAGTTGGAACTCACCTCTCTGGTCGACCTTCTTAAAAAGGGGCGACCACCACCCTGGTCTGCCAATCCAGAGCCAGATGTCCATGCGATGTTGGAGAGGTATGTCAACCATGACAGCTCCACAACATCCAGAGCATTTAGCCCCAGACAACTTAGCTGCCAGGATCACTGGGATACACAAACCGCAATAAAGTGACGACTCGCTGCTCTGTTGCATTATTTGTTTGTAGAGGGCAAAGGCATCCATGTTTCTTTGCTTTTCCTTTGGGATAAAACTAGTACTCATGCTCATGTAATCTGACAGGGGAGCATCTGGCACAGCTTTCTCAATTTCACTTCTTTCAAGCGTGAGAAACTTGTGTACAGCAGCGGTGAGCAGTTCACTCCCATTTTAAAGTCCACACTCCAGGAGACAATAGAAATCTGAACCAAAGCCTCAATTTGAACTGACCCTGTCAGCGTGAGTCATTTTCTAACAGAATCACAAGTTTCTGATCTCATCTCATCACCTCTTTGCTTTTATGATCTTACTAATCATATCCCGTCTGATCCCCTGGGGTTCCAGCACACTACCATCCTGCTACTCTTTCCAAGAATACCGTGCTTTTAATTAAACAGGAGGTTGGTCACAGTGAACTTTCTCCGCCCTGGATGTCACACGAGGAACTGATTATGGTCTCTGTTTCTGAAATGATTTAATTGGATACAAACTCAGGAGTGCGGACATCAATACGGAACTATATATGCCATAAGTTAAAGCCATTAGTCAATACTTCATCCTTCATATGCCGAAGGCTCTGGTCAGATCTAATTACCCGCAACTGTATGCAGCAGAGCTTCACCGCCGGACGACCGGAACCCCTGCGGGATCTGGTTAGGATCACAATTCTGGTGGAGTTTGAAAGTTTGCAAAAGCACACATCAATCACCTTTGTCTTCCATTTAATGCTGACAGCTAAATGACTGCACTCATAATGGTTGTATATTCAGTTCCACTGGCTTCCTTGATGGATGTCAAGACATCCGTTGGAAAAAAAAAAAATGGCATAGAAAATTCTCCACGCGTATTGGCACTGTACAGTCTTAATCACATTTAGTAGAGATGGGCATCACCTTGCATATATAGAAATAGAAATATCCAACAAGACTCAAAGGTATTCTACAGAGTCAAAGCTCGCTCATACCTTTTAATCAATTTGATCACTCATTCCGTTACTTATCAGTGGTTACGACAACCTCGCATGGTAGAGCCAAACAACAAAGAGCGAGTTACAATTCAGAAAACTTTCATTAGGCTCTGTTGGATCATGAAGTGAGGATAAATGCAAACTTACTCAACAAGTAAAAAGGCTTGATTTTTCTTTTTCTTTTATTTTTGCTTGTTTTCCTGAAGACACAATATATCAGTTTGGGTCAGATACTTAGATAATGTTATCTACATTTTAGTATAATGTGTTAAAAAGCTAACCCAAAAGCAAAGTTAATATTTAAATGATTGATCCTAAATGACATGTATCTGAATTCAAAATGACATCCCTTATCTTTAAATGCGCATTTGCGTTTGTATACTCCCTCCAAACATTCTGGCAAATAATGAAATTTAAAAAAAAAAATGTGCAGTACTTTTTCCAATTTCATTCAAGTAATTTTCAAGAACCATTTATATAAATTCTGAATCTTTCTCATCCTTGTGGGAAAATTATTTTGGAAAATGCAAAGACATGCATTTAAAAAAAATACCCTGCTTTATTGTAAGAGCAGAACAAGAAGATGTAGAAAAGAAAACAGGCTGAACTGTGAAGTCAACTGTTCCAATCCAAATTTAAGTTTGCTGTTCAAGACTCGTATTTTCATTTTTCAAGCCACATGAACCAAAACGCAACCAAGAAAACGGACAATTCACCTTGAAAAAGCAAGCCTGTTGAAAAGCAACACATCGACATACGTATTCAACACCTCGCTACAGTTAATTTGCGCAACATGGAACCTAACAAAACATATTCGCGTGTGTGTACCTACCTACAGGGCGCCTCGTCTAGCCTGGTGGTCAAATTCGCAGACACCGACAAGGAGCGGACCTTGCGCCGGATGCACCAGATGGCCGGTCAGCTCGGCATCTTCAGTCCCATGACAATCCAGTTTGGGGCCTATGGCGCCTACTCTCACGCTGTAAGTCTCAGCCCGGCGGGGGAGGAGACGGTGAGCTTGAGAACAGAAAAGAAAAACGCTTGTCATTGAAGGTTTGACCTCACTTCTCTTTCCCACTAGGAACGTGATGACGACCGTTTGTTTGAGTCATACAACTCACTGGCCACAACATTGGGTACACCTGCACAGTCTCATTGAATACAAGATACAGTACCAAATAGTTGCCATAGGTTTTGTTATTGTGGTTGGGGTTGGCGGTGGTGTAAAATTGCACTGCACCATACAAACACTGCTTTGTATTTTGGGCCTCTCTTGCAGCTAAATGCACCAAACACTTTTTTTCAGCATTTTTCTGAACATTGGAATTTTTTTTTTCCACCATAAACAGCAAGAGGTAACGGCCACATTAGATTTTTAAAACAAACAGATTGGCCATTTCTTTTGTTGATGAAGTTAAAAAAAAATATAAAGCCACAATGCTTTGCCCACCCCTGACCTCCAGTATAAATATGCCAAACGGTTCACAATAAGTGGAAGAAGCAGTTTATTTCCTGATTCCTGGCAGATGCTGAAGATTCTGGGGAGTGGGTGATTCAACCGATGTCAGAGTGACTCACAACATAAATTCTTGTATCTGCACCTCGATCAAGATCCCCACTAAAACGTTAATTGAGACTCATGAATCAACAGCACCTCTCCTGAATGCGCCATTTTGCTTCAGGTGGTCCAAGACATGACTAATAATCAATTCCACACAATTGACAGAAATCCTTATCAGTTAATTGGTTGTGCCCATTCCTATTTGGTACCGTGCTTGTGTTGCATATCCACTGCACAAGGGGCCTTCGGTTTATGACGGTCCTCACGGCGCATATACAAGAATAGTTTGGACAGTGTTGCAAAAACACATTCCAGTGGATTGGAAGGCACACTCAGTTACGGCCGCATATACTGGTTTTCACTTGACTTGTTTTATATTCATGGCCTAGAAGTGTTTTCATTAATTCAAAGTATGATAGTGTTAGCCGTTCGGACTTGGAAACAATCAAAAATAAAAACTGCTCTAAACCGAGGACCCCCTGTGATTAGATCATGTAAGTGTACCAAAGGTTTTGGCTAATGCATCGGTAATACATTTTACAGAATGATAGTGTCCATTTACCCAATTATTTATGCAATGTTTTTTTATCGTGTGTATGCATTGCTGTGTTGTGAATCTTGTGGCACTTCCCATTCAAGTCCATTTTTTAAGACTACTTCTGTGAATCTCATCCGCCAACACATTTTACCTTGCACTCAAAACTCAAGTGAATGTCATTACCGAGAACCAACACCGGCTCACCCACTACCCATGCCAGCTCCCTG